ACAACATGTGGAACTGTACGAAAGGGTCATGGCATTAGGAAGGTTAGAACCACTGTTCTAGGCAATTGTGTCTGCTCGTGGCTTCTCCCTGCTCTTCCTGGGGCGGACGGGGCAGAATCAATAGCTGCTACGGGCTCTTCCCTTGGGTCTTTTCTCTTCAGATGAAGAGTTTCTGTTTCATTTTCACCCATTTAGACATGGTGTGTTTGTCTAGATTTTTTTTTTTTTACCTAAGCTGGTTGCCCAACTAGTTTTAGTGAGTTTCTTGACATACATGCCTGTGTGTACACACAGTACGTCATGAGTGTTTTGACCAACAGGATCAGGACATCCCTTTTTTCTGGACACCAAACTTTGATTGTAGTCTAACTGAAACGCTCACTGCCATCCGTCAATGCTGACTCCGGGTGACCCGATTGGGTAAGGTAGAGCTACCCTTTCAGGTTCCCAAACGTAAATCTCAATGGACTTAGCCTCTTCTTTCTGCCACAGAACAACTAGTGGGTTTGAACTCTCTCTAAATTGATTTTTAATTTGAAAAAAAAATTCCTATATCTTAAAGAAAGATAAGCCTTTAAAAAAATCTCTTTAAAAAGATAAAATATTATGTAGGCTGTAGCTTATAATCATGTAGCTAATTATTTAGTGTAATATTGAGCAATAACAACATGAGTTCATTAATGTTAGCCAATTTGACCAAAATCTTTTTAAAAAGTGCCAATGTGCCCAAACCAATTGCATTTGCCACACTTGAAATCAGTCCAGTTTAGGCAATTTGCCTCATAGCTTGTACATATATTCAAGTGGGACCTTTTTTTTAACCTTTCTAGAATTCTAACCTAATGACCCCGGTCTATAGACAAAGTGTGCTTTTACTAATTCTACTGTGAGATGGATGCATTGCTCTAAAAGCCTGGAGACATGGAGGGAGGCAAAATGAGGCGCTGCTACCAAGGGCTCAAATAGAAAGTAACTGTTTAGAAAATAATTATGGCAACATATGTACAAATATGCTTGATACAATTGATGTATGGATGGTTATAAAATAAAATGATATTTTAATTTTAAGAAATGCCTTGAGAACTTGCCACTATGACGTATGAAAGTGAACATATGGCCTTTATTTAAAAGATCACCCAATGGCAGGAGATATTGGTGTACATATGCTGATGTCATTGACAAGGCATCTAAGCAGAAGACAGAACGCATCTTTTTACTAATTTAACCCCACCTGGAGTTTTATCCTGGCTCAACATACTTTTTGTTACTCAAGATTTGGAGCCCTGGTGGCAGTGTATGTTAGGAATTGGTCTGCTGACCAGAAGGCCGCAGTTCAGACCCAGCAGAGAAGAGACTGCGTGCTCCCATGAAGATTCACAGTCTTGGAAACCCTGTGACAGGTCGCTATGAATTGGAATCGACTTGATGGTGAAGGGTTGGGTTTGCTTTTACCCAAGATACGAATTTATAGTTTTACCCAAAGTGAGCATAATAGATTTCTTTCTGTGGTTAAAATTCATAGGTATTGTCAAGGTTTTCGTAGCAACCTTAATGGGCTAAGTAGGCAGCTGTTTTCCTAAATGGAACTTGGCAGCTTTACCGAAGAATTGCCAGAGCTCAGGTAGTTACATAAGTAACTTCACAGATTTTATTAAAGCTTTTTTTTAGAAATTTACTATATGTGTATATATGTGAATGCGTGTATTATATGTGTATATATACACATTCATACACATTCAAAACTGTATTTATGTAAACACATAAATATTTATCTATAGAACTAGGCACATGGGTGATGTGTGTGTATATGAAGCTAAGTCAAAATGTATTGGTTCTAGGGATCCAGTTCATAGACACACGGATTTGTGTAAAACAGAGCATGTTTAAGCATGTCTCCGGGATCAGTGAATGGCTGCAGACCAACTCTCTCAGTAATACTTGTGTTTTAGTCTCCTTAGGGTGCCTTCAACAACAGGTCCAATCAGAGCTACTGCTCCTGAGGCGATGTGCTGGGTCAGTTCTATTCAGGGCAGGGGGTCAGCTCAGAAGACTAAAGCAGCAGTTTTTAGGATCCAAGGAGCCCTCCTGGTAGATTTGCTCCAAGGACACAGGGTGATCACACAGGCTTATGATGAAGAAGTTGTAAGGAAATTGAACACTGTGTTGGTGAGGAAAAGCTGGGAAAGTTGCTCCAAGGATTTTTTTTTTTTTTCCTTCATGACAAGGCACCTGCTCATTCTTTGAGGGTAGCGAAGAATTTTGTTGGGAAGCCGGACCCCTTCCACCCTCCCACCCCGATCTTTCTCCTTTAGACTTCTTTTTGTTCCCAAAATTCAAGGAATCGTTTAAAAGGAGCATAGTTGAGCCCCTGGTGGATGCTCGCATCGCCGTTTGTGCTGTAAACAGAAGAGTTTGGAAGCCCGTGGGGAAGGCTGAGAGAGCTGGAAGCCCCACTTTCTGAGCTGTATGGACTTACATGGAGGGTCTGTGCACGAGCAGTAGCTTCATATTTTGACCTTTGGTTTCTACAATTTCGTGACAATATTTTTAACTTGGTTTTATATATATTTGTGTATTTTACCTTTTTTATATAAATCATTGTATTGGGGGCTCTTACAGCTCTTATAATAATCCATACATCAATTGTATCAAGTGCATTTGTACATATGTTGCCATCATCATTTGAAAAATATTTTCTTTCTGTTTGAGCTCTTGGTATCAGCTCCTCTTTTCTCCCCTCCCTCCCCCACCCTCATGTCTTTCTTTTTAACATATGACCATGCTATTTAGAAATAATGTCAAGACTCCTGTGAGGTTAAAATTTTTTTCTAAATAGAAAAAAATACACCATAGTATATAATATGGTGTTACATTTCCTTCAAAGTGCGTTTTTTGTTATGGCTGACTCATTGCAAAAGATTAAGGAACAGAATTTAAAACAAAAATTTTAAACAGTTTTATTGGCATAACATTTACAATATAACTTATTGTCATAAATACAATGATTAAAGATAAAATATGATTCAATGGTTAAAACATACTTAAAAGAATTGTAAAAAAAAAAAAAGAATTGTAAAATCATCATTTTAGACCATTTTTCAATTTTGCACTAATGATTGTTAGCTCTCCATTACCCCCCAACTCAATCTCCCACATTTATTTTATAATGATTATTAAATAAAACCCTGCTTGTATGAATGGAATAAGGTAAAGTTCACCCATTGTTAGCTTATTGTCAGCATTGTACTAGTGATATGCCACTCAAATACCAAAAAAAATGCTGTAAGTCCAAAACCTTTGGAGAGGTTTACAGCCAAATGCTTTGGACTCTGTAGTCCAATAAATGCTGTAATATTACAGTTCAGCACTTTAAGGAGGGAAAAAAAAGTCAAGCTATGAGATAAAATTTTCTCATGTGCCTACAAAAAAGTTTCAGTATGAAAATAAATATTAAGTTACACGGATACATCCAGACTGTTTTTTATGCAGTGATGAGCATAAACATTAGTAGTAAAATACTGATGCAAGTAACGCCCCCCAAAATGATATATGCAATTATTTTCCATCATTTATAATACAGTAGTTACAATGACATCTCAAACAGAAAAGAAAAAGAAAAAGATCAAAACCCTACCTTCTATTTCATTTCATTAGACTTATATAGAAATTAGAAGGCTAACTCACAATCATCCCCTAATTCACAGATATAGTGGCAGTGGTCATATAACGTTTGCCTTTGATACAGTCAGATAAAGGAAATAATGTATTACTTTCCCATAAGCTAAAAATACAGCCTGAGCTGAATACCTTTCTTGAATTCCATCTCTACCCTACAGTATATGTGCGGGCTCTACACAAAGTAGCCACTTTTTAAATAGTCGATGGATGAGTAAGTCCCTGGTCCTATAAAAAAATAACGTCATCTAAATACAACCACCACTGAAAAATAAAAGAGAAAGAAAACAGTCCAAGAGAAGGAACAAACCCAAGACACACTTCTTAGGAGAAGGGGGTGGGGCGAGGGGGGGCTGCATTCCGTCCCTGGCGGATGTCTTATAAGCAACCGCCAAACTCCAAGCAAAACAAAGACGTGACACAGGCTGTTTGAGACCCGATTCAATCCATTCCACAGCCAAGCAGTTCCCCAGGTGCTCGGACTCATTGCCACCCCTACCGCCAGTGTATGCACTTTCTCATTGCTCCGACACCGTCCTATAGTAGTACTGTGATTTCCACTTTCTCGCTTGTGTTTGAACGAGCATGTCACTGATGGCTGTCAAGCTGTTTGTTCACTGACCACGTGGATGTTTTCTTTGGTCAAGCGCCAGCTCAGACGGCTGCCCTTTTTGCTCTGGTCTCTTTCCTGTTGGCGTCTAGGACATGCTCCATAAGGAATGGTGGTGGTTAAAAGCATGGCTCATAATTTCTCCCAGACTCTGCCTCGCCTGCCACTCAGTAAATGATGTCTTTTGTTTAGAAAAGTTCTTTCTGTCCCTGTCGTTCCCTTCCTGTCGTGCTTTTGTGTCCTTTTCAGGAAACATCTGTATACACTACATGTGTGAAAATATTTTTGTTTTCTTCCTGAACTTGTGTTGTTTGACCTTTCATGTTTAGATGTCTGATCTGTATGGAATTGATTTTTTGTGTATAGTAGGAGGAGCCCTGGTGGGCTAGTAGGTTTTGTGTTGGGCTTCTAACTAAAAAGCCCACAGTTCTGATCAGGTAGTTTACGAAAACAGATCACCAGGCCCTTTCTTCCCATTCTTTCTCGGTCTGGAAGCCCCACTATAACTTGTCCACCATGGGTGACACTACTGACATACCAGTGGCATAGCTTCTCGTGTCATAGCCGCTCACAAGTCCTAGCAGTACAACAAAGCAACAGGCAAGTCGTGGTGCATAGCAATACGGACATTTTAAAACCTCTGAAAAGTCACTTTGTACATACATGAAATGTAAATATCCTGAAAAAAGTAGCAGCTTTACTCCCTGCGTTTCAGGTGTGTTGAAATGGTGAAAGCTTCGCAGTATGTCGAGCTAGCAAACGACCTGGAAATAAATAAAGCGATCACATACTTGAGACAGAAAGACTTTAACCAAGTAAGTGTGTGTAAGTTCTTTTTAGATGTCATTTCATCCCTTTATTTGCTCAAGCCATAAAAGCAGGAACTTTCTTTCTAGAAAATGTTATGTCATATGAATCAGGGTTAATATCTTTATTTCTAGTGTACTAACATCATTTACATTAATAACATTATTTATTTTAATTTGTATATATTGGTCCTTTTTTTTAAGATAGCGATGATATTCACATAAAGCTTGGTTCCTAAACTACTGAAACGTATTCAGTTAATCCAGAGGTCAACTGACACTCTCAACGTTTTTAGAATCACCCATGTGGAAGGTCATGGGCCAAATAATAGCCCTGCTGCTCCCATTCCACCATTTTCACTGCCCTCGGATATTTTTCCTGTTCTGTTTTTAGTTTTGTTTTAATGAGGTCTTGGCAGTTTTTATATGTTTAGTTTACCCATCAATACTGCCTTAGGAATGAATAAAAGCATCTCCTTAGTAGACATCATTTTGAGCTCCAGGCTCACTTTGTGAAACCAGGACTCCTCCTTCAATTGTCTGGCTCTGGTGGCCCTTCCTTCAAGGAGAGGTGAGAGATCAGATGGCTTACTCAATGTAGAAAAAAGAAAGAGACTAACAAAAGACAATAGACAAACTAAAATGTGATGTCCAGGTTTATAAAAACAATGAGTGTCATAAATGCCTGACACTAGGAAAGTCTGTCCCTCTGGTTTCCACCGAGGACGGGCTTACCCGTGCCCTCCTCCACGCCTGTGCTTCCTGTGGCCCCAGTGCAGGACCTTCCTCTTCTGAGAGACAGCACAAATGACGTCCCCTTCTGCGGAGATTCAGGCAGAACACTACCTGCTACTCATACACTGTTAGCGCAGCATAGGGATTGCTGTAACAATGGTACGACTACTACGATGCATGGGTAAATGTGCTGCAGTTGAGAACATTTTGGCATTTATAAAGCACTGTTAGGTCCTGTCATTTGATCATCTTTCAGAATGTCACGGGTAAATGTTTCATTCTGTGATAATGCTTTTTCAGTGGGAGGGGAATGAGATAACGAAATCTTTATTGTTGTCTGTGACCCCAGAACTGAGGGGGGGCGGGAGTAGTGTTTAAAGTACTGTTGCAGATGACAAGACAGAGAAAACTAGGTTCGTCACTTTCTTTTGAAATCCTTTTTAGAAAAACTTTACAGCGAATTACGATCGTTCATGTTTTAAAACTTGCGTTGGCTCAGAAACACTCATTAAGTCAAACCCGATTGCCGGTTGCTTAGGAGGAGCTTCCGTTCCATTTGTAGTTTCAAGTGTTGCTATCACCAGTGTGCCAATGTTCCGTAAATGCCATGTCTGCTTTCTTTTCACCATTGCCGCCTTCACATTTTTTGTTTGTCTATTGTAAGTATGACCAGGTGGGTATAGTAGAATCTTACTTGAAAGGAACACTAACAGGTTAACACTAATCGGGTTGATTATCTTATAAAGACTTTTATTTACAATCAAGGTAAAAGAAAAAACTAGGCCTCTTCTATATGGACGTAAAGAGCCCTGGCAGTGCTCTTGGATAAGCGTTCGACTGCTAAGCACAAGGTTGGTGGTTCAAAACCACCAGCCATTCTGCAGGTGAAAGATGAGGCTCTCCATTCCTGTAAAGATTTCCAGCCTCAGAAACCCTGCATAGGGTTGGAATTGACTCGATGTCAGCAGTGTTGGTTCTATAAGGATATAACTCGGTAATTACCTTTGAATATCTTTGAGAAAAGATGCTGAACCCTCATGGCTTGTTGTGATGTGCCATTTTGTAGTTACCATGATACCCACTCAAAAACTCAGAACTGCCATCCAGCCAATGCTGACTCAGCGCTCCCTGTGGGCTCCGAGACTGTAACTCTTCACGGGAGTAGAAAGCCCAGGCTTTCTCTTGCGGAGCTGCTGGTGGTTTCGAACTGTTGACCATAAGGGTCGTGATGGAGAACTGCTACTCCACCAGGGCGCCCTCGTTACTGTGATAGTAGAGAGAAAGGGAACGCTTCATCCAAAGGCACATGGATGAAATGAAGTAGCCCGGACCAGAGCCCATGATGGCCTCAGGGCCAGACCTGGTGGAACACTGAAGCCAATTGCCAGCAGAATCAGTCGAGGAAGCAAACCAAAGTACCAGATGCATCTTATTCTCTTAACAGAGAGAAAGAAAAACTGCCAATGTTTATTTTCATTATGTTTTGTCATTCATAACCTATTTTTGTCATTGTCTGTACATTTTTATCAGTTTCATTTATAAATCAGTTGATTTACAGCGTTCTAATTTTGACACTGGAGATCTTGCACATACTTTCAATGAACATGTGCTGAACCACTGTTTTGTGTTACAAACAATTTTGTGTTTCTAACACAATAGTCTGAACAAAAACATACCTGTGCGTGTTCCTTTTATTAGCATAGTTAAATAGCCCTTTTAGAGTAGTTCATAGTTTAGAGGCTTAAAACGTGGAAAGTGCTTTCATTCGGACACGTATTTTTTAATGACTGTTTAGTTTCCAAATACCTTTGATAATTCTCTAAATAATAGCTTTGGATTACCTTGGATTTTATCTATCATTTGGCTCCTTTGTAAACATCTTGGAGTAGAATATATGTGGTGTTAATTAGTTTCAAAGTCATTAATAAGCCACAAAGTGGTAAATATGAAAAAAATTTAAACTCAACACATGCCCTTCGCTATAAGACGAAGGCTCTATGCTGTTACGGCGTGTGCGTTTTGGCTTATTGTTTGGTTTTCACATTCTGCTGCATAGATGCCGTAATCTTGGAGCAGAGCTTTCTTCCCTCTGTATTGCCTCCGTGGTGTTAATGGATGCAACTCAAATCTACTCAAGTGTCTTACCGTTTATAGTAGCACATCTATTTATCGCGGTCCAACCTATAAGTGAGGATAAAAATGTTTTATTTCTTATTCAAAGTGAAATGTATTTGATAAAACGTAGGAAATCCTGACAGCAACAGCTCGTACATTAACAGCTGTGCAGGTTGCGCAGCTACAGTGAGGTAAGTCCTGTGGAATGAGCGATAAAGCAGGAAGGGTTCCAGAGGTAAGTCCAGGCACTTCTTGGGGGTTTTAGGGAGGACCTTTCCAGGAAAGTAAGCAAGCAGGAGAATCCCAGTAGTGAAGGTATGATGTGTGGAGTTTTCTCTTCCAGAATGTATTTTGTGGATTCTAAAACTACTGGCTTTAAAACCTCTCTGATAGTTTTCTTTAAGGTCATCATAAACCCTTTAATAGGAAAACAATTTGCTCAGACTGTAACCAAGGTATCCAGAACCTAGCATTTTGCAATGTCTTACCCTTAAAACAGTGAAGCCAGCTTGCTAAATGGGGTTTCCTTCAGGGTGCCTCATTAGCTATTGTGCAACACAAACAGAATTGTCCAATATTTTTGGCCAAGGTAGCATATGGCCAGTGTAAAAACTAAACCAGGATTTTTTCCTTGGATGCCACAGGTTTTCATGTATGGGAAGCACCAAAAAACAGAATATTTTTTATTCAATAAGTCTGTTTTACATGAGGGAAAACCTGCTGCTTTTCTCTACATTTTCTCCCTCCTTGACATCAGTTGGACATTTCTAGGTGAAGTGGCAGCATCTTTCTGGCAAGTATCTGCCCATCATTGTGCACTTTCCATTTGCCTGAGAAACGCGCAGATCTGCCCAGTGAGGGGTGTCTTCTGACCTTTCCGCACCCGTCCTCTCCTCGACTGTCTCTAACCTGCTGCTTAGCCCATCTGTCTTCTGAATTTCAGTGATTCTATTGTTTTGTTCTAGAATTTCCAATTTGTAATTATTTCTCTCAAGTGAAGCTTTCATCTTGTCATCTGTTTAAGCTACTAGTTCTGTGCCTTTCCCCAGTTGGTTCTTTATCGAATTCCAGAGAACTGGAAATGCATACACAGCTGCAAGCTCTAGTTTTACAAATAGACCCCAATAAAATGTAGCATTTAACAACTATTTTATGGGATGCACCCCCATTCAAAGAACTCTGTCATTGGGAGAGTGTGCGTATCCCAGATACGCATGGGATGTTCAGTTTACCTTCCAAAAGCTTGTATCCTAGAGGTACCGTTGTGCAGGAAGAGTGGCCATCACTGTGAGTTTGGGCTGTGAGGAGAATCAGCCAGCCTTGAGGTTACCATTGTAAATTGGTAATGCGGGGTAATTCTCCTTGATGCCAGGTAATTCTGCTACTTATGAACACCAGAGATTTGAACACAGGTCTCCTGATGCTCAGTCGCCCTAGTAGGATAGTAGGTTACACGTTAGGCTGCTAATCGCAAGGTCAACAGTTTGAAACCAGTTGTTCCTTGTGAAAAAGAGGAGGCTTTCTACTCCTGTAAAGAGTTACAATCTTAGAAACCCACAGGAGTAGTTCTACCCTGGCCTCGAGGGCCGGAGGAGTTGGAATTTACTCGATGGCAGTGAGTTTGGGTTGTTGTTTTTTCTTGATCCTCATGCCATCCCACTCTCTGCCCACTCTACCCACCACCCGACAGCCTTCCTCTACAACGTAAGATACATCAAGGCCAATCTTTGTTATAGCTTGTCTTTTAGACCAACAAAATATATTTTATTGCTTTCATCTTTTCAAATTACTTTATTGCAAGTGAAAAAAGCTGATTTTAGAAATAAAGCAATGTACATATTTTATACCATTTCCTTTCAACCAATACAAAAATAGGGCACATGCATTGTGAATGACTGTTAGTGTTTTTTCTTACTTGGTACTTAAATCATTTAAGTATGGTTCCTTAAAAAAAAAAAGTATGGTTCCTAATATGTCTCCACCGTATGATGGATTGGAATGTTAGCCCTAGAGAGATGTTAGAGATCATCTTGTCTAACCCTGTAGTTTGTAAAGAAAGCACCGTGCAAGTTTCGCAGTTAGTCCTAGTTCTTTGTGAGCGTGAAACAAGTGAGTGTTCAGTGTTCGTCTGTCTCATCATACACTCGTCCATGCGATGCTGACTCTTTTATCTGTTCCATTTTAATATGTAGAATTCTGATGATGAGTAAGTGGTACAATTGGCTTGATTTCCATCATTGCAGAAACCCAGATCATTTGTCCTTTATTGCATTCATTATTAAATATTAAAATAGTGGGTTTTACTGTCTGTACTTGGATATTGATATCAAACAGCATTTTGATAAATAAAAAGGTAGCTCAAAGGAGAAAAGTTTGGGCTAAAAGTGGGATTTTTCACACTGTACAAGTTAAAACTCTCAGACTCTCTGTCATCAAGTCTAGTTATATGGTATTTAAAGCCATGGACAAAAATAAGTCAAAACATATTACTATCAGGGGTCCACTTTGTACATGCTCAGGTTTATTCTACAGAAAACATGTGTACACATGCCTCTAAAATCAGTGGATGGATGGCTGCACACAAGTTCTCTCAATAAATACTTGCCTTTTTTAAAAAAAAGTCTCATTTGGGAACTTTTTAAAAAGTGCCAATTTTGGTGCCCTTGGGGGAAAAAACCCATTTTGAAGTCAGAGCTAACAAACGTTTTTTTGTAAACCTCAGTGACTATCTTCCCACATCACTGAAACTACAGCAATGCTCCCCCGCATAAAACGTGTTTTGATTGATCAAGCCTGGGAAGGTCGAGAAGACTTCAAAGGGGAGTTGGCCCGGGAGCGGTCACTCAGAGAGCGATGGTGGCTGTGCCGGGCACTCTGATGCCTTCGAGGGTAGCAGAGGCCGCAAACCTTCCTCCATCCCGTCTACAGCCTTGAGCGACCCCATTCAGCCTTCTGTTTGTTCCCAGAATTAAAACAAAACAAAAAACACGGAAAAGGAAGATTGTTTGAGTCCTTCAGGGACACCGGAACTGCCATTGGACGTGTGCAGACGGACGAGCGTTGAAGAGATGGAGACACCACCTTCAGAAGTGTACAGACCAATAGGGGGGACGTACTGAAAATAGTAACTTGCGCATTTTGTTTTTTTTGCTTGTTTAGCAAAGGTTCCTCTAACTGCAGTCATCCGTCACACAGAGTCATCCACACAGGGAAAAGCAGGAAGAGAGAACGGAGTCGAGAGTCACATTCCAGGACCTCTAAGCTGTGGTGCCGAGAAATCGGCTAAAGACACGGAAAAGGGAGCCCAAGAGAAAGTCAAAAGGAGAGATTCCAAGGACAGGCTATTTTCATGGTCCCACCAGGAGACCTTTCAGAATACGAAACCAGTGAACCACCTCCTAGAACTGACAGCATGGGTCTGTTTCAGAAGCTGAGATGGGGGGAGAGATGAGCGTGTAGTCAGAGTGGCCTGGAAGGTAAAGGAAGTTCTTTTTTTACACGAAGAGTGAAGTACCTGTGTGTGCCGAGCCCGAGAGAACAAGAATGGCCCCGGTCGGGAGAGGTGCGCATTGCAATGAGACGGAAACAGGATGAGTGCGGAGGCAGGCAGGGTTTTTAATCTCTACAACATCACCCTGTGTTTGGGGCTTTTTCCTCACTTAATCATGGGAACCCTGGTGATGGAGTGGGTTACCGGTAGGGCTGTTAACCACAAGGTCAGCAGTTCGAAACCACCAGCCGCTCCACGGGAGAACGATGAAGCTTTCTACTCCCTTAAAGAGGTACAGTCTGGGAAACCCACAGGGGCAGTTCTACCCTGTTCTCTAGGGTCGCTGTGAGCGGACGGCAGAGAGAGCATAAACTACTTACTCCAAACCTGATGATAAAAGTCAGTCTTTCGACTATAACATATTGCCTCCCTAGAAGTTTAGGCTTTATGTCTATTGTTAAGGCTTTATATTTACAAAGTCCTATTATGAGTCAGAATTAACTCAATGGCAGAGAATTTGGTTTTTTGACATTTATAACATTTAACATAACTGTGAGAATTAATTAAGTACTTTCTTGTGTAAACATATGTCAAGGTGAGTAGAGTCTAAGGATCCATGGTTGTTATACCAGAAGTAACATGTTTCCCATACCGTCTTTATACTTTTTCAAAGGAATCATTTCAGTGCGGTCTCCTTACAATGTCAGTAACGGTCACGTGTCTCCATTCTAGGCTGTGCAGACCTTAAAAATATTTGAAAAGAAGGACAGTAGAGTGAAAAGTGCAGCTGCAACCAACCTTTCGTTCCTGTATTATTTAGTAAGTTTGGTTGTCATTTTCATACATCTTATAGTGGGTCACGTATTTTTTAAATTGAGGTAAAATTGACATGGCCTCACAGTCACTGTTGTACAGCATGCAGGGCAGTGGCAGACAGCACGTTCACAATGCCAACCAACCATCACCCTGACTGGGTCCAAAAGAAACCGTAGGCACATTAAGCAGCTGCTCCCCACACACCCCCAGCCCCTGCTCTGATTCTGTGTGCATTCGCCCGTTCTGGATTTTGATGCGCCCTGTCCTCATTCATCAGCACGGCAAAGGTCCAGAAACCTAGTTAACATGCAAAAGTCCAACGAGCAAGGCTCCTCAGGCTCCACGAGTCACTTGGAGGCCACCCCAGGGGCTGCTCCCTCCCCTGCTGCCACCAATACGGCCATGCTTGCAGGGGAGGGGGAGAGGGGGGGTAAGCTTAAGATTTTTTAAGTCATCAGCAAAGCTGATTGGGACCAGATTTGCAGCCAGGAGGGGGCCTGCCCTTCCCCAACTCATACAGAGAAATGCCCCCCCCACTAGGGCCACCCCCCAGTGGCCCAGCACTCCCAAGTGTGCAAGCATCTGATTTCGGTTCTGGGGGGGAAGTGACCGCTGCTTGTCCTGTCCGCACGCCTTTGCTGCCCCTCACAGAAGTGTGGCCCAGGCTACGGACACACGTTCACACTCGTGACCTGGGGTCCCTCGGCAGCTTTATTCACCTTGAGCACTCTGGAGGGGGCTGCTAGAAATAGATGCCGTAGGTGACTCACCCAATTTGACTGGGGGCATGAAGGACAGTGTGCCTTTATGTCCATTTTTAGCTTTGGAAGGACAGTGCTGTGGAAAATCATGACATGACACTTGGGCATTGGAAAAGACACCTGTTAAGTGTGGAACTATTTTATTTTTCTAGGTCGTCCAAGTTTTTGGCCTGTGACAGGGTGCCAGTCTTACCACTTTTCTGTCGCTCCTTTTAATGGAAAGTTAGAGGCTCCACTGTGTAAATATCATTGTTACTCAAACCACGAGACTGGAGAAGTCAGTCAGTTCAAACTTGGGTAACTGAGTTGAACTTTTGGAGACTAAGCTTAAGACCCGCTACATTGACATTTTGGTTCTGCTTAGCGTGTCTGTGAGCCTCGGAAGTCTGTTTATTAGTCTGTGGTCTCCTAATGGAGAAGACAAATGGAGAAATGGGGTCAAATTAAAGTGGCGTTCATTTTGTACTTTCTGTAGGAAAATGAGTTTGCACAAGCCAGCACCTATGCAGACTTAGCCGTGATCTCCGACAGATACAACCCATCCGCTCTTACAAATAAAGGGAACACCGTGTTTGCGAATGGCGACTATGAGAAGGCAGCTGAATTCTACAAGGAGGCTCTGAGAAACGACTCTTCGTGCACCGAAGCACTGTATAATATCGGTAAGTGGGACAAGGTGCAAACGCGTCTGGGAAGCTGACCAGCAGGAGTTCCCAGAGCTGCAGCTCACGAGAAGGAGTCGTAAACTTCCTTCTCGCAAAAACTGGACAGGGAGGCTGTGGCCCCGAGATTGTAAGTGATTTCACATGGGATTCATTTTCCTGGATGTGATCACTTGGAGCATTTTGATAAATATAATCATCTTCCCATCTAAATGCTTTTGCAATTTTTGTTTCCACCACACTGTGTACGACTGGTTTCCCAATTTCTTGCTCGTGCTACATAATACCATTCTTTTCAATGTCACCAAATTGATTGGGGTCGAGGGAGGCCAACCTTCTTACTTTTTAATCCTGAGCAATTTTAAGCATACAAAAATTTACACAGAAAAAAATAAGCACCCATGTACCTACCACCCAACTCTAGCTGGTGTTAACGTTTTTTGCCCTATTTACGTAATGCACGTATTATTTGCATAAAACCACTGATTGCATATGCCATTAACCACCACTGATTGCATATGCCATTAACCAAATTCTGTACTTAGTTCATTTCCTCTGTGTAGTATAGCACCAAATGTGCACACGATTTACCTGGGCGAGTTAAATGTGAAGAAATCCATTTCTGAGATGATCATTCTCATGTTAATCAGTCAGTCTCTAACCACCCCACTATCACACGTTTAGAGTCGTTGAAAATTTACAGCATGTTTTGTTATCTGTCCAGGAAATCTGCCTCCCCCATCCAATTGTTCTTTCTAAACAAAATTTCTCCATTCATCATCGTTGTCTCTTCTGGATAGATGCTTGCATTTACTGATAGTTTATTCTGGTTGTGTTTTTGTTTTAATTTTAGTAAATTACTACCAATATGCTTATACCTTTTCTTTTTCTTTTTTTTTTAAGGCCTTACCTACAAGAAGCTGAACCGGTTAGATGAAGCTTTGGATTGCTTCCTGAAGCTGCACGCCATCCTGCGGAACAGTGCCCAAATTCTCTACCAGATAGCAAATGTGTATCTTATTTGCAAAGGTCCACGGGCAGTTAGTTATTAATACATCGCGGGTTTAAATTTGTTCATTTTAAGGAAGCACAATCATGGAATTAGTTGATGAAGACATTTTAAAACCTAACTCTCAGGGTAACATGTTATTTTAAAAATGGTAGTTGAGTGATCTGTTTTCAAAGAGAATTTGTATTATTAGGAGGAATTACTTAAAGCGTTAAACTGTTGACTGTTGGAAATAGCCAAAGTGCTCGCGTATGGCATTTCGAGTACACAAAACTATTCCTTGAAAGCCTGGGCTCTTTGACACAAAAACGTACTAATTAATTGAAAAGAGAGTATTTTGCCTTGTTAGCATTATTGGTTGCACTTGGATAATTTCTTTATTTGGTTGTAGCTGCCACGTTAGTACAGTGAGCATGACTCTCCAAAGACCTTTACTGTGCACACTTACCGGCTCCTTAGATGCAGGCTCGGGCTGGTTCAGGTCCGTGGACAGTCAGTGAGTGAGCTATGGCTATGTCTGGGCAGGGCTGTGTCTGGAGCTCTGGAGAATGCAGAATAGGAAACAGCTGCTCCTATGGCCAAGTCTTCCACACGACTCTTCTTTACGTCCCCTGATTCCTTGCCCACCGCTGAAAAGCACAAACGTGCTGGCTTTAATGCTCTTTCCCTCGTTGAAAAACGCCTAATGCCGCTCTTGAATTTACCGAGCTTTGACAGCCACCTTGGTAAGTGTTAAAAAACTTATATGGAATTTTAAACTTCCATTCCATTGATATAATTTTCCATTGATATAAATTTTATGCAGATACGTTTAGAGAAAGTATGTTGTGTTGTATACCACTGATAATTTTAAATGTAATCTACTGGATTAAAAAAAAATCTACTGGATTTTTGGCAGAGTAGCTAAAAGATTATCATGAAAAAAATGTTGCTTTACAGTATAAAGCTTCATAGTCATTCCTTTTATTATTTCATTTTTTCCATTTAATTTCGCCAAAATTGCCACTACCATGATCTGAGAATGCCCCTCTCATGATCACTTTAGCTCCAATCCAGCAATCATGTGCTTGTGGCCATCTGAATAACTGCTTGGTTATGTTTTCTGGTTTTTTGTTTCTTTTTCTCATGGTTTGTCAGATTCACTCACTGCCGTCGAGTGGAGTCTGTCTCACAGCGACGCTAAGGACAGGGCAGACCTGCCCTGTGGATTCCCAGACTGTCACTCAGGGAGGAGAAAGCCTGGTCTTTCTCCTGCAGAGTGGCTGCTGGCTTCGAATCGCCTGCCTTGCGGTTAGCAGCCCGTTGTGTAACCCTGCGCCACCAGGGCTCCCGTACTCAGATCCATCATCACAAAATTCAAGCTCCCCCATTTGCATCTTTCCATGAAAATGCTTTCGTTTCATTGAGACATCGAATGTACGAATTGGCAGGAAGGACTCAACAAATGTCAGTGGGAGTAACTTATCTGGGTGTCTGCAGCAGACTTCCTAGGCCCTGGGAAAACTTCAGAAAAGGGAGCCTCTCTCCGTGGGTTTAACAGGCGTCCTCAAACTGCGGCCCGCCGAGGATTTTTATCTGGCGTGCTGGACCTTCAAAATAAGGTTTGTGCAGTGTGCATAGGAATTTGTTCATAGTTTTATTTTGTTTTTTAACTATAGTCCAGCCCTCCAACAGGTCTGAGGGACAGTGAACTGACCCCTGTTTAAAAGGTTTGAGGACCCTGGTTTATAATCTAATCAGGGAAAACTTGCCGGAAAAAAAAAGACATGAAAACTCTTCTCTGAATGTGCTGCGCAGAGGCGGAATCACAGAAGACACACTCAGAAGTTGTCATTGAGGGCACATCCGGGCAGCGCTTTAAAGGAAGTGGCCCCCTGACCTCCTGGGAGTTTGAGAGGTGGCCTTCGTGGCTGTTTAGAAACGAAGCAAAGGGAACCGAAAGGCTATTATTATTTATGATGCTGCTCCAGGGTGCCTCCCTCCTCCGGAAGAAATCTGGAGTTGGTGGCACATCACTTCAGTCTATACATCCTCTTCATTGTAATTTTATTTTTAGGGTTGTCTACTGATTTATTAATTTAGGGGAGAAAAAGGTGTGATCCTTAACTGACATTGCCCAAGATACGAATTAATGGAGGATCCAAATCAAGCTATTGAGTGGCTGATGCAGCTGATCAGTGTTGTTCCGACTGATTCGAGAGTTTTGTCTAAATTAGGAGAATTGTATGATAGTGAAGGAGATAAGTCCCAAGCTTTTCAATATTACTATGAGGTAGGTCTACAATTGTACTTTTTTCTACTTTTTAATCTTTTATTAATTGTTATAAAGAAGGCAGCAGGTGTTTAAAAGTATTATAGGAAAACATATAACACAAAATATGTCATTTTTAACCCCTTATAAATGTATTCTCCTGGGGCATCAGCTCCATTCACCATGTCACGCTACCTCATCCCTGTCCGTCTCTAAAGTTTTACATCACCCTAAACGGAAACACAGTACCTGTCAGCAGGAGCCCCCATTGTCTCCTGCCCCCAGCTCCTGACCATCACTGCTAAACTGGGATGTCTATGCATTTGCCTGATCCAGATACTTCATATCAGTGGGATCAAGTAGGGTTGGTTCTTTTGTTACCAAGTTGTTTCACTCAGCATAATCTTGTCATACCATACATCTGAAGTTCATTTCTCTTGATGGATGAATGTAGCACATTGTATTCATCCGTTTATCTGCTGACGGGCACTTGAGTTGCTTCCACCTGTTAGCTAGTGAGAATAATAATACAGTGGTGAGATTGGTGTCCATGTACCTGTTGGGATCGCTGCTTTCAAGGCTTCGTGTGTCTCCCTAGAAGTGGAAGTGCTGGGTCAGATGATACTTCTTTGTTTAACTCTTTGGGGAACCAAATTGTTTCATAGCATTTGACCCATTTTGCATTCCTACCATAAACACACGAAGATTCCAATTTCGCTTTGCCAATACTTGTTATTTTCCTTTTTTTTTTTTTGCCCTGATAATAACCATCCTAGTTAGTGTGCAGTGGTTTCTTGTGGTTTTGATTTGCACTTCTCTAATAACTAATGATGTTGAGTATCTTTTCATGTGCTTATTAGCCATTTATATATCTTTTTGGTGAAATGTCCATTCAAGTCCTTTGCCCATTTTTAAGTGGGGTTTTTGTCTTTTATTGTGGCAAATAAACACAGTTAAAATTCTTACTAACTTTTAAGTGAATAAGGATTTATTTTAAATCACATAACGTCTGCTTTGAATATGATGTTGGCTTTTGACTAAGAAATAAAAAATACAAATGAATTTTTCTCTTGAAGCATGATTTTTATCCTATATTGAGTCTATTAAATATTTAATTTGACTCATAGCTCAGTATGTCTAAAAGATACTCAGTTTTTAAAATCTTGTATTTTTAAAACTTCTAGTCAAATACTACTTTTTAATAAGAAATTTCATATAGGAGAAGTTAATACATTCAATAAGTGAATTATACATTGTCATTGAGCTTGCGTTATCAATTTTGATTTGTTTTTCCCAGTCCTACAGGTATTTTCCTTCTAACATCGAGGTCATTGAGTGGCTTGGGGCCTATTACATTGACACCCAATTTTGTGAAAAAGCCATTCAGTACTTTGAAAGAGCATCTCTTATACAGTAAGTCACTATTACTGTTTTGTATTTAATTCATGTCTTGTGTTGAGAATTTTTCTGTCCCTTAAATAATGTATAGTAGATTTATTAAGTTCAAGAGAAAATATATAATGAACGTAGGTATATTATTTTCCTTTTCTTATATCATGTTCCATGTTACTGGGTCTTTGTTGTGGTAGATATATTTCCCTTTGCATAAAATTTTGAAAAGTGTATCTCTTTTAAGGTTCTACATGTATTTTTGTTATTCACATCTCAGCAAACAAGTATTTCTTTTACCAAAAAAATAGGAGTATCTCAGGTCTGGGACAAGGTCTCATTATTGAGAGAGTTAAAATAGAAAAAAAAATTGCCCAATTAGGAACTATGTGGCAAATAATAGAATGAATAAATAGGTAGTAGAAGATCATATACTGTAATACTTTATAGCAATTAAAATTAATTATAGCAACACACATGGATGGCTCTCATGAGCATAGTAATGAGCAAAAGAAGCCACACACACGAATCTGAGAGGGCTGTAAAAACAGCATGGTGAAAACAGAATAAAAAGATAATAGAATTTTTCCATGAACTTTTTGAAGCCCCCATATAAATACGATATGACTCTACTGTGAGGTTCAAATTTGGGCAAAAGGAAATGTTGGCAGTCAGGACAGTAGTTGTCTACAGAGAGGTGAGATTAGGAGGGGCCGAAGGAATGTTGATCAAGTTCCGTTTCTTATACTGGAGAACTGTTGTATTCATGTTTGCTGATGCTGATCTATACAGTTAGGTTGTGTGTAGATTTCTGTATTTATCAGACCTCACAATAAAATGTTTTTAGTTAGAGCAAAAAATGAAATATAAGCCAAGCCAAGCAAATACTGCTCTAATCCCTTAGAAATGCTGGGGGTCATGACATTTTTTATTGCCTTTATGATGGGAAGCACTAAGGGCACCACGAGGTTATGTGCCGAGGATGGTAAACATTCAGTGGGGGGGGGGACTCCGACTTAAGATGTTGATCGCACCTTCCACTTAATTCCCCCCGACCACTTAATTAGAATATTTTAAGAGGGTAAATCCATTCATCTTCAGTCTTATCTCTGTGGCCACTCCGTTAATTCAGAGAAGCATCCTCTAAGCCATTGCAAGAGAATCAACCTGGCTTTTCCCACTCTGGGAGCTGGAGAGCTCTTTGTACCGGAAGCAGATTCTTCATCTCCTCCTCCAGTGTTCACTCCCTTGCCCCACACTCCCTGCCGTCCCATCGTGACCCTGGAGGACAGAGTAGAACTACCCGTGAGTGTCTGAGACTGTCGCTGTTTGCCGGAATAGGAAGCCCTGTGTGTCTCCCTCAGAGAGCCTAGTGGTTTCGAACTGCTGGCCTGGCACTTAGCAGCCCCACTCTGACCACTATCCCATCTCACACGAGCCTCCCATTATGGGTCAGACCCCCGTCCAGAGCCTCCCGAGTGACAGAGAATGAGGATAGGAGCTTGTAATTTCACTGTTTGTATTCCATTTTTCCCCTTATGACTTCAATACGGTTGATTCCATTTCCTGAGCAAGTCTAGTGTTCTCCAGGAGAGGTCTGCTGTACTCACTTTGGTTTTGACCTTCCTTTGCCTTGGTAAAGTCAGTTTCAAGCTCTGTTGTCCATCATCCATCTTTCTATAGCCTGACTTTCACTAAGAGATGGAATTCGAGTTCCTCATTCTCCCAATTTTAGAAAGTTGAATTTTCAAAAATGGCAGCTTGCGAATAGAAGGTCCTTGCTTTGCCATCTTGAAACCAAAATCCATGGCTCTCTCTGACACAGTCTTACACTAATGGGAAGAGCACGGTTCTCCCTGTTGTAGTTTTCAAAACGCAACCGTCAGTGCTGTCTGGCAATGTACACTGAGGGATCCACCGTGCAAAGTACACAGTGGCGAGCGGGATCCCAAGTGGAGCCTGAGGATTAGCTCACTTGACGTGGCTCGGTCGGTCTCACATTCCTCCCCCTTGAATGAATTGCCTCCTGAAGCCACTGCTATTTCTAGAGTTCTGTCATTGTAGACTGGCATCCAAGTGGTGGCAGGCCTAGCGTATTTAAACCTTCCGTACAGTTCAGCCTCAGGAGTTTGGAACCAACTTGCCAAATGGTTTTGCTTTGTTTTGTTCGGGTCCTTTGTAATCGCTGGCCCATTAAGTACACTTTCTGTCAAATAGCAGTGTTTTTCTTTACTGTGATGGGATTGTCTTCACTGAGATTTCCATTTGGTGTCACTGAGCATTCATTCAAGAAACACCCTGGAGTGAGCCGAGATAGAAAAGGTGACAAAGTCCGGGCGTCTAGAACATGCAGTGGGCACTGCATATAGAGTTACCCTCAAATTTAACGTCTTACCATTTGTTTTCCCTTTTGATCCTTTTTTAACTTGTTCTAGGTTTTCTACCTTCTGCTTTCCTGTGATTGAGGTCTTTCTATGTTTCCTTTTGTTGTTGCTGATGGGGGTTTGTGGTATGGTGTTCTTGATATCAAATCCAGAACAAGTAAATCTATAGAGAGTAGCTAGATGAATAGTTCCTTGGGATTCTGACAGGGGAGCTTGGGGGGAAATGAGGAGTTAATAATAATAATGGATAAAAGAATGAAGAAAATGATCTAAATTGATTGCAGTGAAGATTGCACACCTTTTAATCTATTTAATCATTGAATTGTAATCATTGAATTGTACCGTACACAAATTATATGTCAGTAAGACGGTTAAAAGTTAAGAACATGCAGTGTACACATGGAACATAAGATGCTAGGCAGATTGAAGGAGGAGGATTTGGAGGAAAGGAAAGGATTAGAATATGGATGAACCACCAGAAAGTGGGAAGTTCGAGTGCCCCAGGGCAGCTTAGTGAATGGCTTCTAAACAAATAGCAAAAAAAAATTTGTTTTAAGTAAACAGCCAGCCATTGGAAACCAGGGCATCGTCCTCTGACCTGCATGGTGGGGGAAATATGACTCATATTTTACATGGTCGAAGAAAGGGCCAGAAACGAAAGGGTACGCTTGACACCGGTTGTGCTTTGCACCTCTCTTGTGAGCATCACAAGTGTAAGTTCATGTCGTTCCTCTCTTCCAGGCCTACACAGGTGAAATGGCAGCTGATGGTAGCGAGCTGTTTTCGAAGAAGTGGTAAATGCGTTTACTGTAGTCGATTATTATACCTTTTGCTCTGTCCTTTTGGGGGAATTATATGTATAAATGTGCTCTAACAGAGTATTTACTTAGTAAGACACTAACTTTGGGGAACTACACATTTAAAGTATGATGTGGAAAACATAATAACTACTCCACCCAGAAACAGTGGCATTCATAAACTCGAAAAACATACTCCCATCCCGTCCTGCAGACTCACAGCGGCCCTACAGGACAGAGTAGAACTGTCCAGAGTTCGGCTGCAAGGCCTGGCCTTTCTCCTGCGGAGCGGCCGGTGCGGCACGGCTGCTTTACAGAGTGGAGATGCATCGTGCATGCCAATACCATTGTTGAAATTCTAGTCATTATCCAGAGTTAACATGTCATCAATGTCAGTTTAGCCCTAGGGCAAAAATGGGTATTTTGTTTACAGTAATTTTTATTTCTGTTTTTTACTCACCTAATTCCAAATGTCCCTCTAAGCTTGGCTAACCGGAAAGCCTCTCTGCCACCTGCACTCCCTGTGTCCCTGGAAAGGCCAGAGCCCGCTCGTTTTTTCCTGGTGCTGCTGTCACCGCCGTCTGGGTTGGGGACGCTTGTCCTGACCTGAATCAGCGCTAACCGCTCCGGACTAGCTATGACGCAGCGAAATTAATTAAGTTGAACCAAGAAACAGCTTCAACACATTCTTAATCCTCTCGTAGAGCATGAAATGACCCAGGGAAAAAACTGCTTCAGTCCAAAGGAAGCAGTGTACTCGCCAACCAAGATGCTATGTTCCTTTTGTATCTCTGTGAGTGTCTTCAATTGACTTCTGAAATGCTTTAAGACATATATTTAATGTGCGTAGTCCTCACATCTTTAACTTTCCTGCGTTTCCGACTGGACCTTCTACATGATATAAACCCACCACCCACAAACAAACAAGCAAACCCACCGCCGTCAGGTGGATTCAGACTCATAACGGCCCTGTCCAGGATCTCCGAGACTGTCCCTCTGTGGGAGCAGACAGCCTCCTCTTTCCCTGGGAGAGCAGGCGGTGGTTTGAACTGCCGACCTGAGTTAGCGGGCCAACCCACCAAGGCTCCATGACTCTTAAGGCAGTGGTTCTCTACCTCCCTCATGCCGTGCCCCTTTCATACAGTTCCTCATGTGGTGGTGACCCCCATAACATTATTTTCGCTGCGACTTCATAACGGTAATTTTGCTACTGTTATGAATTGGGCAACTCCTGTGAAAGGGTCGTTCAAACCCCAAAGGGGTCGCGACCCACAGGTAGAGAACCGCTGATCTAAGGATTCCTCAAACAGCTTGTGGGAAAATTCCATTATCTTTTCATTGCATTTTTCCACAGTTTCTGAAGCCTCCTCAATTGTATACATTTTATTTATGTCAACATCAGTTCCCATTCACCTGTGTTCCATTCAACATTATACAGAAAGTGCGTGTGTATATGTGAAAGAGAAAACAAAATTCTGAATGATTTAAAGACATTAATATACTTGGATTGTCAATTGCAAGTTAGCAGAGAAGACACTAAAATTTATTGATGTTTCATATCAAACTTTCATTTGAAATGTTAGTGCAACATTCCTGTTATACTCTGGGGTCCTGATGGATTCATGATTTTTTTCGCAATAGTTTTTTTGCGCTATAATTCTCATGGCATATGTTTCCATAGGTTAGCTGTACATACGTCACCACAAGCCATTCTAGAACATCCTCCTGACTCCTGTATTCATTAATTGCTCATTTCCCTCTACGACCCCGCCCCCATCCCTAATAGGCCATCACACCAGTTACTGTCTCTGTACATCTGCCCATCACATGCTTCAGGAACTGGAAACCATACTACCTTCCCCCAAAGAAGAAAGCAGCAAAAATGTTTTTAAAAGAAAGAAAAGCCAATAACAGTATTAAAATAAACCAGAAAAAACCTCTGCTGAGGAAAAAGCAGGAAATATTGAAAACTGGAACAAATCCAAAAAAGGGAGATCAAATATCCAGGTGCCACATTTTACACTAATTACATCTGCCACAATCGAGTTCACAAGTCTTTGTCTGCTAGCATCGCTATTTACATCCCTGGACTGTGGTCAGGTGACCCACCAGACTTCATCTGTGTGGGGACCCTGCAGGTGGATCAGGGGCTCCCACTGTCATCCATAGCCTTCTGCAAATTGGATGTTCACAATCTACCCTCTGATCCCATTCCTCATTCCGATTTGGATTTTGTTATGTATCACCCTCGATCACACAGGCTGGTGTGCTGCTTCTATGAGGACTTGGTTGACGACTCACTTAGATGGCTGCTTGTTTGAATATAAGCCTTTAAGACCCCAGACTCATAATGTTTTTAATGGGATTTTAACAAAGATACTTACCCAAAATGCAATTTCACTCTTCTTGAATCTAATTTATTCTAAAACAAATGACTTTCCATAAAACTGAATAATATTAAAAACTAAAACTTACAGAAAACTTATTTTTATCTTTTCCAAGTAAATGAGTGATAATAAAATTAATGAATTAATGTTGGTCTACAAATTAAATGACTTCCATTTAAAATTTTTCAGGTAATCTTTAATTATTAGATGAGTGGGTCTTAATTGTTTATCACTAAAATATTTATTTTAAGAACTGTAAGTCTCAACCATCATTGATTTACTTCTGCTTTAGTCCTTTTTCAAATTTATAAGGTTTTTTTTCAGATGTTTTATTAAAGTGTATATGTTTGTGGCAAACATGCAGCCTTTATACCAAATTGACAAAGTGTGCTGCTATATTGAAGCAAATATAGTTTAGTCACTTTCTTGGGGGCTCTTACCAATTTTATGGCAATCCATCATTCAGTTGTATTAAGCACACTTGTGCATATGTTGCCATCATCATTTCCAAAACATTTTCTTTCTACTTGAGCCCTTGGTATCACCCTCACTTTTTCTCCTCCCACCCCCGCACTCCCACCTTTGTGAACCCTTGATCAATTATATATTCTGTTGTATCTTACACTGTCCACTGTCTTCCTTCACCCACACTTCTGTTATTTGTCCCCTTAAAAAGTAGTATTTTTCTGAGTTCTGTCATTTCTACAATCTGTTAGTTTGATATTTTTATCTTTTTAATTTGCAGGTAACTACCAAAAAGCATTAGACACTTATAAGGATATTCACAGAAAATTTCCAGAAAATGTTGAATGTAAGTGAAATTGTATTCTGTACCTTTTAGAATATAAGCTCTTGCATATTATGTTTTAATATGTATGAATGATATTTGCTATGACAATTGCAGGTATAATAACCCTAACCTGTAATTTCTAGTTGTTAGATACCATACATAGCCACTCCATATGTTTAAATAATTGACTCTGGGGCCCGAAAATCTAACATTTTAATCAAAATTGACAAAGGATTTAAATCTATCACTACATTTTTCTCAATAATAAACCAGTCTATACTTTAATGCTTTACCTTAAGAATAGATTTAAAGATCAAATTATTTAAATCATTTGATCTACACTCAATGATGCTCTAACAAATATGTTCATTCATTCATCAGTTTTTAAATTCTGAATTGTGCAGCTGATGGATTATAAAGGTGAATATTTATTATTTATATCCTGCCTGTGCCGTTAAAGTGTTTTAATGGCTCATAACAGAGTTAAAATATAATCAACTACTTAACAGATATAAAGGAAGAGGACCAATACAAAAAGATAAGGAGGGGAGAAAAATAACACGAAGACAGGTGTGAGTCTTGGAAACCGGGCCCACTGGCTACGAGTAGGTCAGCCCTTTAGCAGGCAAGGCAGGTAAACAGAGCGCTCAGCCTCTGCTTCGAAGGCACCTCCAGGCTACTGGGAGCTACATTCAGAAATGATGGTAGTGCCAAATGGCAAATGGTTCATGTCTTGGTAAAAATGATCAAATGTGCACTTATAGTTGTCTTGATGTTTTCTGCTTCATTCTAGATTTTTAACTTAGTATTTATTTTCAAAAGTTTATAAATTTTCAGTTTTTCATAGAAGAGACTTTTTCCTGTTACACTTTATTTTTTTAAGCAGTTTTAGAATTACAGAAATCTGTGCAGCGAGTACAAGAGCTCCCATATCCCTTCTCGTCCCTCTGCACAGTTTGAGTGATAGGTTGGACTCACCCCTACACTTCACACAGCTTCCAGTTGACATGAACTCTAACTGCCACGGGACTCTTTGTGTCATGGAGCCCTGTGGGCTTTCCCACACAAATGACACCACGTGTCTCCGCTGCTCTACCCTGCAGAAGAGTCCCATGCCCTGACATGCAGTGTCCCGCCACCTAGTCACCCTCCTCCTTCCTCATGGGTCCCTGGCAACCAGTGATCGTTTATTATCTGTATCGTTTTGTATAGAAAAACAAAAACAAAAAAATGTTTAAACAACAAGCGTGTAAGTTAAAAATTACCCTAGAGTTTAAAAAGTACTGCTGTTAGGTGCCACTGAGCCCATTCTGTCTCCTGACGACTGTGTGTACAACGGAACGAAATACCGCCTCCTCCGGCACCGTCTGCCCAATCAAGAGGTGCTGTGTTGGAGCCCTTGTTGAAGCCACTGTGTCAATCCATGTCCTGGCCGGTCTTCCTCTTTTTTTGTTTTTCTTGATGCACTTTACTAAGCACAGTGTCTCTCCTGATCATGTGTCCGAAGTATGTGAGATGAGTCTCGCCTTTTGGATTCTAAGGAGCGTACTGGCTCTACTCTTCCCACAGGCAGGCTAGTTCTCCTGGGAGTCTGTGGTCGAGGGAGCACTCTCCACGGGCATCACTACTGAAAGGCATCCGTTCTTCCACTTTCATTAGTCGGTGTCCAGCTTTCACGTGCATATGAGGCCACTGAAAGGACCATGGCTTGGGGTCAGGTGCACCTCAGTCTTCAAAGTGACCTCTCTGCTTTTTGACACTTAAAGAGGTCTTTTGCAACAGAGTTGCCCTGTGTTGTTTGGCTTCTTGACGGCTGTTTCCATGGGTGTTGACTGTGGACCCAGTAAAGTGAAATCTCCGACAACAGCCTTTCGCCATGTACCGTGATGTTGCTTCTTGACCCAGGGTGGGGACTTGGGGTTTCTTGTGCTGCGGGGGACCCCTGCTGAAGGCTGCAGTCTTGGATCTTCATCAGTAAGCTCTTCGAGTCCTCTCTGCTTCCAGCGAGCAAGGTTGCGTCGTCCGCGCCTTGCTGGTGGTGAGTGAGCCGTCCTCCGGTCCGGGTGCTGCACTCTTCCCGTGATAGTCCTGCTGCCCAGCCCACTTGCTCAGCACACCGATGGCTTTTGAGGCTTAGTCAGTATCAGCCCCAGGTGAGCGTCTGGGCTTGAAGGTCTTATCATGCCACGCCTCTGGGAGGCTTAGCCGTTATGTAATACTTCAGTAAGTCCTATGTGCTATTGACATATGAAGAAAAATAGATAAGGAGTTGGAGCATGTATCTATATTATTCTAGATAGGGTAAACAGGGAATGTCTTGTTAATAAGGTAGCATTTTAACAAAAACCCATAATAATAGAGTAAGGCATGAAGACATTAATGGGGGGGTTACAGAATTAACCCCACTACTGTCAAGTAGATTGTGACTCCTAGTGGCCCTACAGGACAGAGTAGAATGACTCCTATCGGGGCTTCCAAGACTATGATCTTTACAAAGAAGAAGTGATGCATTTGATTATGATGTTGGCAAGGGATATTGAAAGTACTGTCAACTACCAAAAGATTAAAGAAATTTGTCTTAGAGCCAGAATGCTCCTTAGAATCAAGGATTGCAAAACACGCCTTGTGTACTTGGCACAGAAAAGGACATCGTGCTTGGTAGGCGTGTGTGTCAGAGGGGATGAAAACCTTGTAAGGAGACGAATCAACACGGTGGCTGTGACCATGGGTTCAAACCTAACAGCGATCGTAGAGTGGTGCTGGCAGGATGCTTGTGTTCTGTTGGGCATGGGGTCGCTGTGAGTAGGAGCCAGTGTGATGGCACCTGACAACAACAACAACTCTATGCGGTATGTCCTACATGATTTAAAAGAAATATAAATGTTTAATTACAAACTTATACAAAACAAAACTCACTGCCATTTTTTCCAACTCATGGCAACTCGATAGGACAGAGTAGAGCCCTGAGGCAAGCCCCGAGGGTTTCGGAGACTGTAGCTCTTTACAGCAGTAGAAAGCCTTGTCTTTCTCCCTGGGTTTGAACTGCTGACCTTGCAGACGGCAGCCAAATGCTTAACCTGGCCTCCTTCCATGCCAAAGGGCTTCAAAAAGTTAGCAGAGAAATAGAAGTAAAAGATAGATGAATTATTCTATCAACTCTTTGTAGCCCTCTCATATTACTGGGCACCCTGTACAAAGAGGTAGTTTCTGTCAACAACTTAGGAGGACGAAACAGCGGTCTAGGGACAGAGTTTTGTGCACTGTTACTGTCAAGTTGCTGTCCATTCAAGCTAAATTGTTAGACATTTAGAATATAATATGAAATTTTTCGTAGTAACCACAAAAAAGATATATAAATTTAAAAAATAAAGTAGAACACAAAGAAACTAAATAATAAATGGCAGAACTACCGTATTTACTCGATTATAAGCCGACCCAAATATCAGCCGAGGCACCTAATTTTACCACAAAAACTGTGTCAAAAATGTGCTGGAAAAACTCGGCTTATACACAAGTATATAAGGTAAGAGTCAAGGGAGGACATTAGGGTTAATTTGTCAGAAATTATGTAACAATTATAAATATATGACAGAACCTAACAAGATATGAAGCAAATATTGACAGAACTGAAAGTCTACAAAAATAGTATCAACAATGGAGAAAATATTTATAACCCACTAGCTCCACCAGACATATTTGGTACACTTCATCCAAGAGACGTAGAATACCAATTCTTCTCCCATGCACATAGATCATGCTCTAGTATGAACCGTACGTCGTTTCACAAAGCAAGTCTCAATACATTTTAAAAGACTGAAATCATGCAAAATATTTTCTCCTCCCACAAGGGAATGAAGGAAACTAGAGCAATAATAGATGGAACACCGAACAATTCAAATATATGTGAAAATTAAGCCCCACACTATTAAAGAACCAGTGGATCAAAAAAGAAATCGCAAAGAATTACATACAATTTAGGGGTGAATGAAAACGAAAGCACGCCATAGCAAAACACAGTGGGATGCAGCCAAGGGGTGCGCAGAGGAAAGTTTACAGTGGAAAATTATTATATTTTCAAAAAAGAAGAAGGATCCTGAATTAATAACCTAATTCTCAACCTTGACAAACTGGCCCAAAGACAGCAGGAGAAAGGAAATAACAGGCACCAGAGTAGAGATAAATGAAAAGAATTGAAATACAACAGAGACCATGGGCAAAGCCAAAAATAGATTATTGGGGGCGGGGGCGGGGGTCAGTAAAATTGATAAACCTTTGACTGTACTGACTGGATCAAAAGCGAAAGACATTGCTGCCTTGTCATATAAAATAATGAACAATTACATTCCAACAAATTAGATAATCTAGAAAATTTTCCAGGAACACAAATTACCTAAATTCATTCAAGGAAAAAGAAAATCTCAATAGACCTAAAACGCTTTACTGAAGAGGTTGAGTCAGTAATTTTAAAAAGTCCCCCCAAACGGTATGACTTCCCTGGAGAATTCTACCAAGCATTTAAAAAAGAATTAATTAGCACTAATTCTTCTCAAAACCCTGCCCCTCAAAAATAAATAAATCAGAGGGAAAGGTCCTTCCTCATTCTATGAGGTCACCATCACACTGTTTCCAAAGTGTCAGAAGATCTCACGAGAGCACTGCAAACCAATACTGCTTATGAATATAGATGCAAAAACCACAACAAAATCCTAGCCAACTAATTGCAGTAGTATGTTTAAAGATTATACACCACGACCAAGTGGAATTTATCCCAGGCATGCAAGGATAGATCAATATAAGAAAGTCAATTTAATAGAACAAAGGAAACAAAACCACATGATCATCCCAATGGTTACAGCAAACGCATTTTACAAGATCCAATACCCATGTATTATTTTAAAGCTCAACAAAGTACATATAAATGATAAAGGATATTTTTAAAACCACGAAGCTAACATCAGACACAATGGTTAAGAACTGAAAGCTTTCCCAAGAAAAGGAACAAGACAAGACTGTTTTCACCCCTGCTAATCAATATTGTCATGGAATGTAGTATTAAATTAAAATGGCTAATGGGGGGAATGGGGTGCCAAGCCCCACCCGCTACTAATACCTACTGGTTCAGTAATGCATAATTGTACGGTTGAGATATATAAGTATTATATTAAGGTCATTGAGAGCATGAGAGATAAAATAGATAGTACAATGATACAGTCAGACACATTACATGGTAGCATTGCTCACCTCAGCGCAGCTTGGTGGTCCACGTGGAGAGAGGGGGAAGGGTAGGTGGGCAAGGGACCAAGGAGAGAGGACTGGAGAGGAGAGGGGAGTGAGCAGGGAGTGAGCTGCAAGGAGAGTCTCTCTCGCTGACCCATGCATATATACCTTTGGGGGGCATGCCAGCCCACTAATTATAGGTAGAGACATACGTCACAGGGAGGGGCTGCACTATAGGTTACACAGTAATGAGGGGGTGGTCTCTGGGTCTCCATAGGAACCATTATTAGTAGGGTGAAAACACCGCCTACAGGAGCCTGTCTATTGTCCCCAGAGTCAGGGAGCAGGGCCCACTACAGTTTGGCAACTGATTGCTCTCGGGAGAAATGCCTGTGCGTCTGACCTCCCCCCACAATGGAAGTTCTAGCCAGAGCTATTAGACAAGAAAAACAGAAAAGTCACCCAGGCCAGAAAAGAAGAGTGAAACTCGGAGCTGTTGTGTTTTTGTACAACAGCAGCACGCCATTTCAAAAGGAAATGCAGAAAACAGCTCTGTTTAGGTTGTTGTTAGTGCCATGGAGTCAGTTCCAGCCATAGCGGCCTGATGGGTAAAAGCCTGAAAGAGTGAAATACCTAGAAATAAAGTTAACCAAGAAGTCCTAACTAAGTGAAAATGCATGCAGTGTTTATGGACCAGAACACTTAATATGGTTAAGATGGCAATGCTAATCAAAACAGTCTAGTCCTTTCTTCTAAAAATGGATGCGCCAATCCTTAAATTCTTATAGATAGTAGTTGCACAACAGGATCCATGTAATCAATTCATTGACTGTAGAGAGTGTTGACCAGGCAAATGTTTCATTGTCGATATTTTCACTGCAAGATTTTAAAAACTTTTGTGTCATTGCAAGAGTCTCAAGTCACCAAAACAACTTTAAAAATAACACAGTTGAAGGAGTCCCCCCACCCCCACCCCCGCTGCAGTAAGGACAACAGCGCAGTGCTGATCAATGTCCACAGACATCGAGATCAAAGGAATAGAACTGAGAATACAGAAGTAAACCCACACACTGGATCCAAACCCACGCAAGTGACTTTCAAGTTGTCTGATGCCAAGTTCATTAATGGGGGGAGAACAATCTTTTCAACAAATGGTGTTGGCACAGCTAGATTGCCACATGTAGAAGAATGGAATTGTAAGCCTACCTCACACCAATAACCTAAATGTCAGAGCTAAAACCATGAGATTCTCAGATGAAAGCCTAGCAGTCGCTCTTCACAGCCTTGAGTTTGGTCATGGAGTCTGAGCTATGACACCAAAAGGACAAACAACAGCAAAAAATGTTTAAGTTTTATTCTTCATAAAACCAAAACCTTTTTTTTGCAACAAAGGACACTATAAAGAAATTGAAAAGACAGCCAGTAGAATAATAGAAAATATTACTAAATCATACAAGAAGTTTGCTATTCATGATAAAGAATTCTTCCAACCTAACAACAAAAAGAAAAATACTTCAGTGAAATGAACACAGTTCTTGAATATCTCTTTCTACAGAGAAGACATACAAGTGAGTAAGAAGCACATGGCGAGATGCTCAACATCATTAGTCCATAGGGAAATGCAAATTGATTCTGATACAGGTTATCATCTGTACGGGAGCAGATCCCACGACCCACTGCATGGGTTCGAACCACTAACCTTTCAGTTAGCAGCCAAGAGCTGAACCATCACATTAATTGTAGTTATTAAGTAGTGCTATAAGAAGAGACTAGTTATTGCAGTTATAGTAGTGTATGGGAAGATGTTTTTCAGTTGTTAGAATCTTTTTTCAAGCATACTAACCTGGTATCACTGCCTCGAAAACTCAGAAGAACCCAGGAAGAAATCTATTCAAACACTTAGCTTTAGAGGCCAACTTTTTGTTTTCTTCTGTGTATCTCTGTGTTTAACAAATTCCCTACAAAGAGAGGCATGGCTTTTATGTTATGGGAAACATCATTTTAATCTGAAATAAATGTTTTAAAATAATGATGGCCGTTAATGGCAGAGGCCGTTCTTACAGAGGTAGTAGGTGAACCCCCGTGGTTTGTGGTTTTTAGCATCGCTGCTCACTTTAGAGCCCTTTTTGAAAAGCACCGTGATACGTGGGCAAAGCAAGTGCCAGAGGAGGGCATGCAGAATGCTACTGTTTTAATAAGACTCAATATCAAGCGAGATTAAGCACTAGGACTCGGGGGCCATGGGTAGAAGTGATAGCAAGGGTTTTGTTGTGGTTTTACATTGTGTTTTTTAAGCAAGGAAACGGTAAGTGTAAAGTTCAGTGCTTCGAGGCATAGGCATGGGCTGCGGAGGAACACGCAGCGGCAAAGTGATGATGATATTCTAATTCTAGATCAGGGTGGGGAACCTTGCTCTTCCACGGCCCATTTGGATATTCATAGCATAATTCTCAGGCCATATGAAATTGTCCGCTTAAAAATCAGCCTGCTTTAGTTGCTCAAACATATAATCAACTCACCCCTGATGTGATGGTCCTGGTGGCCAAGTGGATATGCACTGGGTTACAGTCCACAAGTTCAGCAGCTTGAAACCACGGCTGCTCCAAAGGAGAAAGACCGGACTTTCGACTCCCATAAACAGTGACCGTCTCAGAAACCCACAGGGCGCTTAGGGTCAGTGAGTCGGCATTGAGTGGAGTTCTGTTGTAGAATGTGATGGCCAGAACCACGCCTCTTTGGTGACGTCTGTGATGTTAGGTGGTCTTGAGGATATTGAGGGTCACATATGGCCTGGGGCCGAACGTTCCCTAACGCTGTTCTAGGTCATCAACTGGAGGGGGGATTCCTAAGTGTTCATTTTCACCCTTCACTGCAGCTGTTCTCTGCGTATTTGGTAACCATTCTAAGTGCAACAACCATAAAATACGATCTGTATTCTTTACAGTCCCAGGAATTTGCCTGTAGTGTGAATGAATATTTTTCAAAAGAATGCATCTGTCAGGCTTGACGTCTTAAAGAATGCCTACGAGTAATTTGTATGATGGTGCCATGAACAAGCTGCCCATACTGTGTAGCCCACTCTCCACTGTCATCTCGGATGCACATTTCTGAAACTGCCCATCAGGGCTGGACGTAAATTCAGCGAGCCCCATTTAGGTCCAATCGGAACCCAAGTTCACTGTGGCATCTGCCTTTCAAACGCTCTTCTAGAACTGCCCCTGCGCTAGTTAGCGTGCGTCCCTTCCCTACAATGTGGCGTGCGGGCAGGGCAGATGGGCAGAGTGTAAAGACAATTCCCCCGGTCTAGAGAGTGAGATAGGAATGAGAGTGGAGTGCTTTCACAAGCAAGCAAGGCGATAGTCGTGAGCACCATTGCAAGCCCCAGAAGGCTGCGTTGACGGTCCTTTGTCTGTCAGCACTGCGCGTGAACCCTTTCCTACCTAAATATGCTTTTCACATTTCAGGCTTGCGTTTCTTGATTCGTCTCTGCACTGATATTGGACTAAAAGAAGTGCAAGAATATGCAACAAAACTCAAGAGACTGGAAAAAATGAAAGAAATAAGGGAGCAGGTATCTCATATGGGACGGAAACTGCTGTCTGTTAATTTTCAAACTGTCAGTCTTTTGTAGCTCAGTTGAGTGAGATTGGGAGCCTGTATCTGGAGAACATACACTGCTTTGGCATAAGAGGAGATACAATTAAAATTCAAGTTTTAGGATACAATTCGGTCACAAAGATTCCCCAAGCAGGAGCACGTGCGATGGCCGCAGTGGAGCTCCTGGGGCATGAGTAGCTGCTAACAGCAAAATCGCTGTAACCGTTCACAGCGTGAGACAACTGGAGCTTAGTTTGCAGACCTCATTGTCGCTGGAGTGGCCCGTGGGGAATCAGCAGCAACGCCTTGTCCCAGCAAGAGCACTTTTCTAAGCTGCTTGATCCTCTCTAGGAGAGCATAGCACTGAGAATAATGTTAAGCTATATGGGAGCACTTTCAGGTGTGCATTTATTTTTCTCACAGTATGTAATGTTCTCAGTTTCACTTCTTTCAAAGAATCCTTTCTGCAAGTTTGAGTTTGGGGTAATTCATGATTTTTGCTTTTCTTTCTTTTTTAATCATTTTACTGGGGGCTCGTCCAACTCTTATCACAATCCATCCATCCATCCATTGTATGCCAAGCACATTTGTACATTTGTTGCCCTCATCATTCTCAAAACATTTGCTTTCCACTTGAGCCCTTGGTATCAGCTCATTTTTCCCCTCCCTCCCCACTCTCGCTTCCCTCATGAACCCTTGATAATTTATAAATTATTATTTTGGGAAAAAAAGTATTATTTTGTCATATCTTACACTGTTCGATGTCTCCCTTCACCCACTTTCTGTTGTCGCATCCCCCAAAGAGGAGGTTATATGTAGATCCTTATAATCAGTTCCCGCCTTCCACCCTCCCGGTACTTAATGATTTTTAATACGATTTTTGACTATCTGCCTTTCATAGAAAGAAAAGCTATTCTTAAAGTTTAGGTTGCTTTACTGGAAACACAGTTTTGAAGGGGGACTTAAATTGATTCTCTTTTTTGTTTTAACATTGTGAAAGTCGTGTGCTGAAGGAATGTCAGCCAACTTTGGGAGATTCCCTATTGCTTTCACGTTATGGTTAACTTGTGTAGGCTTTGAAGGTGTGATCTGATTGCATTGCTTAAGAATTATGAACCACTGCATCAGGTTTTTACTTTAAAAGTTCTGTAAATACCAAGTTTACATTAAAACGCTATGATAGGGATGTCGTCAAAACCTGCTGTGAAAATGAACGCAAAACCATGTATTAAACCCTAACTCAACCTGGTAACCTTCATTGGAGTGCTGTAAAACTCCAACAGGTATCATCATCATCATCATGTGAGGACTATTTACATTTGTTTCAGTAAGTGTAATTAAAAGGTAGTATATTTTCAAACCAAGAATATTATTTAGAGCTCAAAATTCTATATGTGGAGAGCTATCGACGCATGTGGACATTCATTTTCACAAGACTTGACATGTTGATGGAGTCCCAATGGAGTAGTGGATTGTGTATTGGCCTGCTAACCAGCATGTCAGTAGTTCGAATCCATTCATTGTTCCACAGGAGAAAGATGAGGCTGCCAGCTCTCATAAAGATGTACAGCCTCAGAAACCCGAGGTAGCAGTTCTGGGTTGCTCTGAGTTGGAATCGTGCGTTTAGTTTGTTTTTTTTTTTTAAGTTTAAGTTAGTTACAATGAGCAATGAGTTAAAACCTATACAAATTAGGGATCATGTGCAATATATACATTTCCTGTAACTTAAACCAGTGGTTCTCAGCCTTTCTAATGCTGCGACCTTTTAATACAGTTCCTCATGTTCTGGTGACCGCTCCCCAACCATAAAATTATTTTCGTTGCTACTTCATAACTGTCATTTTGCTACTGTTATGAATCAGGCGACCCCAAGGGGGTCACGACCCACAGGTTGAGAACCGCTGGCTTAACCCTTACCTAGAACTATTGGTATCTGTGGTATCTTCTCTATGAGAGGCCCAGGAGGCCTGTCTACTAACTTACCAGCTGCCCTAGGAGAGGAAGAGGGAGCAGCCTGCTTCTGTCCCGATTGCAGTGTTGGAAACCGCGCACTCGGAGTCAGAGCGACTCAATGGCAATGGGTTTGCTTGGAGTAATTATTATCACGGGTGCTCTGAAAGACTTCTACTTCTGACTCTCTTCAAACACAAGGAGCAGCTTCCTCATTCCCTGCAACTTCATTGCAGCCAGGCCACGAAGCAGCAGCACTCAGATTTTAGGCAGCAGTGATTTCAAGGAATTCCTGGGAAAGAAACTTGAGGGGCGAAGGCCAAAAGTCCCTTTTAAAGACATTCAGATTTACTTTTACATGCCGCCAAGTGGAAGGTTATCATTTCATGTTCTCATTTCTTCATTGTGTCCTTACAGAACCATTGTAGATACGTGAGGGGCCTTCACAAAGTTCGTGGGGAAATGGAATTGAAAGATAATGGAAGTTTTCCAGGAACTTTTTGAAGTCCCCTTGTGAATCTCTTTTTCTGTTCTTTACAAAACGTGACTCACTGTTTCCTGTTTCCTCTTCCCTTGTGCCTTTTGTTCAGTCAGCCCTTCCACTTTCTCTTCCCATAACATTAACTATGTGATAAAACTCTATTTTATCCAGCTAAGATGGAGTAATACATTTTATTACTATAAAGGAAGATATAAATGTAATTAAATCTGGTTTTCTCCTACCACTCACCTTTCTATCAAAATAGTTAAATATTCTTTCATTCTCGTCAACTGTATTCTCTCTCTCACATCCATTTATCCACCAGCACACACACAAAAATAAAACCTCCTGTATATGAGACATAAAGGTTTCCACCACGGATATTCACAAACAAAATCCCTTTGTTTAGTGAGCCTCTGAGTGTCATAGTTATAATGCAAATTAAGTGTCATATTTCAGGGAGAATATTTTAAAAGTCACAGGAACAAAATTTACTTTTTTCAACAAATCCCTGATTTATTAATTGCAGATAATCCTTAGGTTGAACTCACTGAGAATCTCCCCCTCCCTTCATTAAAGAATACTCTAACAAACCACCACTGTGTGGCTATCTCAGTCCATCACCCTCGCATCTGTCTCACTGCAGCCTGTGGAGACCCAAGGCCATTTTACGATCTCGCAGAACAACGGGCCCTTACAGTTTTCCCCCTCAAACTTTGTAAAGCCTCTCTCCTTCCCTAAAATTAAACACATAGTCGCCATCATCCACCCAATACTGAAATAAACATTTCATCTTGCTTCCCCATTTCCTGGAAATGTGTGTTAGACAGGGTTCTCTAGAGAAACAAAACCAGAATGCTAATAATTTTTTATATATTTACACAGATAGATAGATGTATAACATAAGAAATAAACAGCTAATTAAATTATAAAGCAGTACAAATGGCTCAGTGCAACTCACTCCCATTAGACAGCTGTGAGATACTGGCAGGCCTTCAAGTCTTGAGGGTCACCGGGTAGTCCTGTAGATAGAGCAATCCAGGCTATCCCGGCACAGGCAGCAAACAGCAAGGCAGGTCGCCAACAGTCAGCCAGATGACAGGGTCCCACAGTCCCCAGCTCAAGAGATGTAAGTTCCAATGGTGCAGCGAAGCAGGTCTTGAAGGAACCTCAAATTACAGTGACACAGTCCACGGGTTAGGTGTCCCACAAGTAGTGTAGCTTGCAAATTGAGGCACAGAACAAGCAAGGCAGCCGCACACTGGTCCGAGGATCAAAGAGCAAGAGACAAGAAAGGCGAGCCACTTATCTCTCCACCCTTCAATTAATCCCACGTGTTTATCCGCCCTTCAATTAACCCCACATGTGTTTATCGGCCAGGCTGGCACAATAAACAAACCACCTTATTTCTCTTGACTGGGTCGTTAACAACCCCTTGCCTTGTCTCCCGAAATGCTTCTCCCAGTGGCTCAAATTGCTGTGTACGCATGTGAGCATTTCCTCCACCATCCTTAGGTGTGACTCGTTAAGTCAATGTCCAAGAAACGTTTTCCCACTTAAGCTTTGCTTATAGACTCAAACTATGGGGTGGGTGCAGAGCTGGGGGGTGGGGGCTGGGGGTCAGTGGACAAGAAAACTCCTAGGAAAAAGGAAAGAAGCTTCACAAGAAAACTCTCAGCTCGCAAAGCCCTAACTCCTCAGTTTCTGCGAAGTGCTGGCCTGTTTCCACGTTGTCTTAGACTGTGAGCCCCGAGGGCAGGGCATTCTACTTGCTGGCTTGTGGAACGCATAAAAACACTATTAGATATAAAACAAAATATAATAAATAAACTTCTCAACTAAGGATACTCTCGCCTTTCCTAAATTTGAACTTAAAACTTCTGGTTCCTTTTTCCTGTGTATTTCTTGCTGAAAAATCTGACCAGTGCAACACTTCATAATCTTCCTACATGATTAAAATTGCTTCCCACACATCATCTTTACTGCCTGGGAAATGCCTCATCATACAGATACATCTGGATTTCTTTAGACATTTTCACTTGGTTAGACAGTCCGAGATCTTACATAGGAACGTTACTGGAGGGTCGAGTGACTCCAATCACAGCAACCCCATACGACAAGGCAGAACTGCCCCTGTGGGGTTAAGGGTAGAGGGAACCCCACAAAACATCCCAGGTTTGGTAGGCGCAATTGTACAGCGATAATAAGTAGAGATTATAGTAAAGTCATAGAGAGCATGAGAGTTAAAGGATAGAGTCAAGTAATGGAGTCAGACGCAATTCATGGTAGCATAGCTCACCTCAGCCCGGCTTGATGGTCCTCATGGAGGGGGCTTAGCCGTCAGAGAAGAAGCCGCTGCTTCGTCCTCCTTAGTCACCTTCTCCCGCCACCCTCCCGAGAACCAGGGAGCCTCATTATTTATTGCTAACCACGCATCATAGAGTCATACATCACAGAAAGGGGCAATACAATTCATTCTAGAACAAGTTTGATCACTCCAATGTCTCATATAATAAAACAGACAATTACTATTCTGGGAGGCA